ATATAATAATATTAAAATAAATATTGGAAATTGTGAGATTTTTCTTTTTTTTATTATTATACTATTAAAAACAATTACATTATTTAAGTAATATATGTTTATCATGAAAATATGGATTTAAAATACATTTGATGATAACGTGAGAAGTTATTCGGTAAGAATTAACATGCAGAACAAATAATATTTTAATTTACAAGTTAAATTTATATATACATTTGATATTTTTTGTACTATTAGAGTGATTTAGACGAAAATATAGTAAATAAGTGGAGCTTCTGTTTTATAATAATACAAAAAAAATAGTAGTAGTTAGACGATTTTATTTTTTCTATTTATGTTTTTAAACTTGATATTTATTTATTTTAAATTTTATTTGAAAAGAAATCACGAGAGATAATATATAGTAATTGAGAATTCTATTTTTTTAAAGATAAAAGAAGTCTTAAATTTTTTCTTGTTTGTTTTGCATTTTTGTCTGGAGAAAGGAAAGAATCGGTGGAAGTAGTTGCAACGAGTTCATTGTCATCAACAGGAGTAACATTAATTTCTCTTCTAGTATGTGGGGAGAAATGGCATTAGTATTGGTATTGGGTGAATTATCGTGTTGCGTATTTTCAGGTATAGGATTTATGTTGTTAGGCTCCTGAGGATGTTGATTGAGACAAACCTGAGAAATAACATTAGTAAAGTTAATAGTGGTGGGATGTTATTTGATTTTCTAGCAGTTGGTGAATGTAAGGAAAGTTTAGTTTTTTTGGAAAGGTTGAGAAGATAGAGTAGCATATTTTTCTTCAATACTATCTAGTTGATTATCTAATTCTTCGTGAGATTATGATTTTTCTTTACCTGAAGTACTTGAAGATTGCGATTCGTTATTTGAATAAGTCCATTTGATATCAGAAGTGACAATATATGGAATCCTGGAAGATCTGATTTTTAACCTTCCAACAACCAACAAAACAGTTTTTTGTAGATTATTTTTTAACATATTGTAACGATTATTCTCATTTACATAGAATACGATAACATTCGAAGGAATATGTTTATTATTAGTAACACTGTTATATAAACGTCTTGTGAGCATGAAGCTTTCTCTCTCTCCTTTATTGTCTGGATGATAAGAACTTTGTACAATGGGTGCAGAAAAGAGAAGCAGAGGTGATGAGTACAGGAGATTAGAGGAAGTGAGAATATAGGTATTATCAGAAAATGATATGGGTATGGTTTGGATTAAAACAACCTGTATAAAGATGAAGCTAATTAGTTTATTGTATAAATTTTATAATAGGTAAGAAAGTCGGAAGTGGAGTTATACATATTCAGTATTTTCTTCATATACATATTGTCCGATCATTAAAACAATAGAGTTTTTTTCAAGAGGTGATATTAAAATTTCAGAGTTATTAATAAAGCCTTTAAATATAATTTCTCTGAAGAAGTCAACATCTTTATTGATATGATATAAACCAGTTCTGGAGAGAAATTTATCACTACTAGTAACAGTTTTAACAAAACAAAATAATATAAAGATTGAAGTCATGATAAGATGTTTAGTGAAGATAAAGGCGTCGAGAAGTATAGATAAGTAGCAGTGTTTTATTGTACTTTTTTTGATAAGCACAGCAAATTATTCTGATAAGTTCATTCTTTTTATAAATATAGAGACAATAACGAACAGATCAGTTCTTGTAAAAATATTTAATTGTGTATAGCATATGACAATCGATAATTGCATGAGGGGTATCAATGAAGATATCATGAGTATAATGGTTTGGTAAGCGTTTATTTCTTGATTTAGATATTTATGATACTTTTTTTCTTTAAAAAAATTCTACGACGCTCTTATACTTGGCGTGGCTGTAAGAACAACAATGTTAGTATTATATCATCATGAAAAACTCAGATTGGGCTATGAAGAACCTTTATTTTATCAGTAGATAACAGGATGTAGTCAACGAAGCCAACCCGAAAAAAGTATTATAAAACATGTCAATCGGTATGAATTCAATATTTTATATTTTTTTAATTTATTCAATGGTCAAGATCAAGCATTACAGTTTCAAATATGTAAATAATATTTTTTAAATAGTTTGCATGAAAAAAATAACATAATGAGAGGCTTAAATAAACAAAATGTTCATTAGTTGATTTCGTTTAATTTATACAAACGTATAACGAAAGTCTAAAGGTTAACTCAAAATGGAATCATGATTATGAACTACCGTAAATAGGTTATCTGTCACGAAAAATATTGTTCGTAAGCAGCTGCAAAAGTGACTTTCTTGACAAGCGATTGATATTATTTTCAGTTATGCATTCAGGTAATCATATGATTGAGGATTTATTACAAATCAAGAGTAAAATCTATTGATCAAAGGTATATTGTTTTTGCATAATCAAGTTTTAAGTAATAAAGATAATTGTGGAGTAATTAGTGAATATTCGTGCGGTACATAGAGATGGGCACTATGTGCATAATGTTCATGCATGCATGCAATTATGCATATACCTGATATGCATGTTATGCATCATTATAAATTTGAGTCGGAGTTTTGTCTAATCTGACACATAGTGTCATAAATACGTACAAACATATGTACGTACATACGTAGTTAACGAAGATTATTAATTTGGTGCATACAATAAGTTATTATCACAATAAGTTATTAAAATTTTTTTCTGGATGTTCTAACAATATAAAGTATAATGAGTTATAAACGCAATCCGCAATATAAACAATTTGTTAAAAAGACCCAGATTTATAAATTTAATGCAGATATTGTAACATTATTATAGTGAATTAAAAAAAAATTTCGCAGCACAATAAGTTATAACAAGAAAAAAAAAAAAATTCTAAACTCTATTACGATATCATAGCAATCAACTATAAAAATAAGAATTTTTTTTTGTAATTTTTTCCACATAAAAATTCAAAATGACATTACGAGATCTAATATAGAATCTTTTTATTAAATTAGGGCATGTGTCCGGATACAAACAGAAGCAAAAAAAATGTAAAAAATGTGAACAACAAATTAACGATTCACTTAGAGCAGCTCGCACATATGTTCGACGATGCACCAAGATATCTGTAGCACAAAAAAAATTATTTTGGTAACCAATATGAGGAAAGCGATGATAATACACCCACTTCAACATTGGAATTTGCTTCACCCTTACCTCTGGTATCAAAATCAAGTAAAGTTAACCATATATCAAAAACAGAACAGAAATCACTTGAACT